ACGTGCAACGTTGCCCTCGGGCAGCATTGCGCACCGCGTATTTTACCACACTATACATTCATAGTGTATTGTCCTTCCCCGAACCTCAGTGTATGCAGGCTACAACAAGGAATCTTTGTTTACTGGGGAGCAGTGGTGCAGTGATTCACACTGCTATCTGGTTACATATTCGAACCACGGTAGACGCATTCGTGGCATCTGAATCTATCCTGGGACTCTGAGGTAAACTCGGGCTGACATGAAAACCTGACGGTGTGTGAATAGCAGCACTCCACCGTTTGTGGAGTGCTGCTCTCTCCACCACCTCCATGTGCCAAGATGGACTTAATAGGTGCTCGCTGACAGCACATCCTTCTCTTTGTGCAACATTCGTGGTACACGATACACACAAGGACATGTTCCGGCTAGGAAGATAACAGAACGCCGATTCACAGTGATTTCGGAGTTGCACCCGATTCAAGAGCCGAATGGCTCACAGGGCTATACCAAAATAAATATACTGAACTGAACTTAAAACTGAACTCAGCCTTAAATGAGTGCCTTGTGCTGTGTAAACATTCGCACTGGGGGGGACAAAGGCGACCAGGCGTGGTATTGACCACCCACCCCCACACATGCTGTTCATAGATGCTCGGTAGCAGCGCCCGCCCCAACAGTCTGTTAAAGGCTACACGGGGGGTCTTTCTGTGTGAGGCTATGGAGACATGGGTGAGGTTCGGGATTTGACTCGTGCAACAGCAATGGCTGCATTGCCTATGCCGTCCAGACCTTCCCAGAGACCCTGGCTGATGGTGTTCTGACGAGCTGAGAGAAAGCGACAGGCCCACTCCCATCGTCTAAAGCCATCCCACATCCAAGAGCGAGGATGCTTCCTGCAGCCTTTGCTCCAATGTTCAGAAAGCCGTGCAGCGCTGCGAGGATGAGTGATGGTCGTGGGTTGCTGAAAAAAATTGGAAGCTCTCTCAGTATCACGCAAACACTCCCAAATGACTCTTTAATTGTATTAAAACAGTAATTTGCGGTGCTACGCCTACACTTTTGTGAAGCGAAAAAATGGCGATCTTATCTCCGACCACCATGGAACAGGTTTGCAGATTTAGCTGAGTGTTTCTGAGGTCTTTGGGGAGGGGAGACCCCTCAGCTCAGATTACATCATGTAGCAGGTTGGGATTGACCTTGCTAAGGTCTGTCATGTCTCAAATATTGGAGGAAGTAGCCACTCAGTGACAGCCTTGCTTCTCTGATCTGTGGAGATAGTGCAAAGGGCAATCCAGAGCTTGAGACTTAGTGCAGTTAAAGGCAGCGATGACCTCTTATGCGAACTGTGTGTCGACTGCCCTATCTTTATAACTGTCTGGTCAGAGCCATTTTCTATTGACATTGGGACGCGATGGGGATTCCTCTGGTCCCTACATTATTTATCATCTTCTTTGGCCACACAGTTCGAAACAATTTTCATGGCTATATCGGATCAATTTCCATATGGTACATATATAGTGTTCCAAACTCGAGACACTAGGTGGAGGTATTCTCTCTTTATTTCCGGCCTTCACAGCCTTCGGGGATAACTCCATACCGGGTGGGGGGGTCGCATTCTCTCCCATACATAAAAAAACAAGGAGAACCCAGTAGAGATATGAGGGGCCATCCTATAGGCTGCAAGAACTCCAGGAACATGTAGGTTGCAAATCGGACTGTGCTTCATTTGACTTGGCACAACATGGACATGAGTGTCCTATGTAAACCCTCTACCATACCGTCAGTTCGAATTTTCTTCGTACCCAACAAATCACATACCTCTTGCAATAGTTTAAGAAAAATGTTAGCCATGTTCCATAAGGAGACGTTCTGAGGGCCCCTTATCTAATACATAATCATGCAGGAACGTCTCTGTAATGGACACCGACTGATCCAGTAGGGGCCATGCCACCGGCCACTGTGACAGGTACTCTACCCCTACTAGCAGGAATTTATTTCCCCTCCGAGTGGTAGGAAATGGCCTAAGGATGTCGAGGGCCACAAGCTCATTTACACGGGACACCCCAATGGACTGCAGCAGTGGTCAGGTCAGTCTCGGCGGGGGCTTCCGGCGGGCACATTCTACACAACTCGTGAGCATGTTGTGAACGTCCTCTGCCATCCCGGGTCAAAGGAAGTCCCGTTTCAACGTGGACAACGTTTTCTGCACCCCTAGGTGCATTTCACATGGGCAGCTCTCGTTACTTTACCCCTTAAAGCAGTTGGCATAAGCCATTTGAAATGGCCCTTGGTGTCCAGAACGCGGTTTTGGGTTTTGAACTTTCATCCAGGGGCAACTGCCAAAACCCTGACAATAGATCCAGTGTGGAGAAAAACCGCGCCCGACAGGGCATCCAACGAATCGTCCATCTGTGGGAGCGAATACGCGTCCACCACGGAGATCTTATTCAATTTCCGAAAGTCCACAGAACCGCAAACTCCCATCCTTTTTAACCAGGACAATGGGAGCACCCTACGCACTGGTTGACAGGGAGATATCGGCGGCCAACATATCGGCGACTGCCTGACGAACGTAGTCCTTTTCTTTCGGACTAAACCGAATTGAGTTCTGACGAATGGCAGTGGCGCCACCCATATCAATATGGTGACGCATCAGGGACGTGCGGCCCACATTGAATATACTTGTACCAAATGCATCGGAGAAGTCCTGAAGCAATGCCCGCAACTCACCAACTCTGCTCCAATGACAAATCCGGATTACCCATGTCCAACGGATAAATCCACGAGTCATCAAACACCGCATCCCGTTCAACTGTGGCCACGACACGAGTGACCACAACATCCGTATCCTCAACACGCAGCCATCGCGTGGGCCAACACCGTACCAGGCTGTACGACTGCGGTATCCAGCCCAGCACTTAATACTTGCAGTAAGGGCTCCTGATACCCCTCACTATCGTCTGAGCCCCTAACAAAGTGAGCCAATTAACTGCTCTATTGCAAGGGGTTCGAAGAACCCCACGCCCAGTGATTTTCTCGTCGAGCCGCTTTTGCAGCCTCAAGGGTACGAGCATCTGTGCACCCAGGGGAGGAACCCTAACAGTTTCATGCACCAGGACCCGAACCACAGCGTTAGCCATACACCACCCAGTAGGGGACTCCAAAAACCTCAACCGATGCCCCGATGGCAATGCCACACAACCCTGGTCCACTAAAATCCAGAGGGGCATCCTCTTCAAAAAAATCCGTCCCCAATAAACAAGGCACTACCAATGAATATGAAACCAACACCAGGCCCGTCCTTTCAATATTGCCAATCCGTATCGATGCCTTAATTTGGCCCACAATGCCTAAGCTCCCGCCATTAGCGGCAACACACGGATTATTTACTGGACTACAGCAACCCACCGTCGACAGAAACCATGGTGGTGGATGCCCCCGTATCTAAGAGCATCCGCACCTCAATACCCTGCACAAATCCACCTACCGTGGATGATCCCGCTCCCGCTGCCATGACATGGTGCACCAGTGCAGTCCATTTCCTGGACCCTTGCGGCCAACCATCATGCAACGAAGCACCACCTTAGTACCCCGTATCCTTATGAGGGGCGATGGCGTGTGTACCCGACACTGACTGCAATGGGGATGCATGAGGTGGCTGTGTCGGCCGGGTGTGTGACAAATCACAACCTGCCTTTGGACGCAGAGTGGACGCTGACAGGGCAGAGGATGGCAAAGTCGGGAAAAAACTTCCCCAAATTAGCATGGCAGCCCCTGGATATGTGGCCCGACAGGCCACACCTGAAGCAGGTAACGGGGCCCCGCCTTGGCGGAGGCAAGGTTCCCCTCCGCTGGTCCCGTCGTTGTCCCGCTCTGACTCACCCACGGGCTCCAACCACCCGACGCACAGGCCCAAGGAGACTCTCGTGCTCCTGGTCGCCCTCTTCTCCTGGAAATCCAGCCCCGGCCGCCACCCCAATACGTCGCAGGTTAGTCGGCCTGGATGCATTGGGCTACCCGAATCGAGGACAGGTCGTCCTCCTGTGGCTGGCAAAAAAGTAATTTAATTTCCCGAGCCAGAGTCACGAGTTTCTCCAGCACCAGAGAATCCAGTCCTGTCCGTTCCATCCTTGGGTACGCATCATGGCCCAGCGACAGTAGTGTGCTGTGGAAGGCGAGGGGCGTCTCCCCCCGACTCCGCCAACTGGGTGTATGCTTGATGCAGCGGTGGTAAACCTCGGTAGGCGTCATGTAGGTACCTTGGAGCATCAGACCTCTCGCCTTCCACAAGGCTTTCTTTTATAGCCTCCCACAACAGCCCATGCCTGGGCCCAAGCCCTTCCTGCTTTCTGCCGAAAAAACTAGCCTGAAAACAGGCTAGCAAAGGCTGGCACAACTCCTACACCTCCAGCGCAAAAGTGCATCGCACAAAAATATTACTTATGTACTCGTCCGAATTACAGCCCCTTGCGCATTTAGGGGTGTGGGCCATATGGCGGGAATGCATAAACGCCCTGCATGGCAACCTGTCCCAGGCCGCCAACCAAGATATGTCCTTTTGCGTCTTAGTTAAGACCTCAGACGCCACTTTCTCCCATATTTGATGGTGGCGGGCACTCCGTGTCCCTGGTACCTCTGTGCAGGTTTCCCTCTTGGCAATCTCGAAAAGGACACTTCGTGGATGCCACGACTTCCTTACCAGGGTCGGCACGTATTCTGCAATGTACTTGTTTACCACGGCACACAGCCACCCTATATTGTAAAAATATGAGGCCTTTGCCTGGGACATCTGAACAAAATAAGCAGAGCATATTATAAACAAAAACCGTAGTCAGGGTATGTGTGACGTTAGGGACTCCCCTCCCACCGTTTGCAGGGTGTTTGTACGTGGTCTCCCCTCTCCACCCGGTCCATCCCGCCTTCCCAAATGAACTAAAAAAACAATGTCTCCATACAACACGACATTTTCGCGTCTGGTGGGAAGATGTGCACCAGGTAGTTGAGCGCAGGTAGCATTTCTACCTTCAACACTAATATCCTCCCTTCGATGGTGAGGCTTCTGGTCGTCTACCTGGCCAGCCTGCCGTTCACAGCCTTTATTTTTTCCTTCCAGTTCTTTTTGCAGATTCCTGCTGATAGAAGGCGACCCCCAGGATCTTAATCCCTTCTACCTGCACTCAGTTGTGTTGGCCGACCTTCAAAAAGCCTAGGGTCTCCAAAAATCATAATCTTGCTCTTACTCAGGTTAATTCTGGATCCTGAGGCCAAATGAAAAAGTCTTGCAGTTCCAGTACCTCCCAAATCGAGGAGACATCCCTGCAGAACACCACAAAATCATCCATATACATTGCTATCTTTTCCTGTTCTCTACACCCCAGGATGTGCACCCCTCGAATTCTCCGATTGGTTCCGACCGCCTGGGCAAACGGTTCCATGCAATGACGAATAGGACTGGCGACATGGGGCACCCCTGTCTCACGCCTGATCTAACTGGGACTGCTTCAGAAAGGACCCCATTTATCAAAAGCCATGCGTGCGAACACCGAAAACAAATAATCATGCGATATGCGGTCAAAAGCCTTCTGGTCAAAATTAATAATCCCCAGTGGTCCTCCCCCATCAATCGTGGTCTCTAGGACCTCCCTTAGTAAGATAAGATTGTCTGAAATATGCCTACCTGGGACCACACATGTCTGGTCTGCATATATTAGTTCCTCTACCACCCTTTCCCTAGTCGTGCTGTGATGGAATGTCCGTATTTAGCAGGGTAATTGGGCGCCAGCCCCCAAGGTCACTGCGGGCCCCCTTCCCCTTATATAAGGGATATTACCCCTCCCCTCATGCACTCTGGTACTGGACCCTCCGCCAAAATTTCCATGTATAGTTGTAACAAGTCATGCTTGATGGTGCCCCCGAATTTGGCTTAAAAATCGGCCAGTATGCCGTGATTCCCTGGTGTATTGTGCAAGTGTAGACCTCGCACCGCCTCATCCAGTTCCTCAATTTGAATTTGCTTATCCATCTCATCAGGAGCCCTGACCTGTTTAATTTATCGAAGGAAATCCCGGGTTTCTCCATTCTTCATAGCGTTTGATGAAAGCCCTCATTACTTTCGTCCGCTAAGACACTCACGTTCATCTTCCAAATCCCTTTCCCTAACCTTAATCCACCTAGAATTCGTAGCCTCGCCGTAATCAGTTTGTGATCCGAAAATGAGAACGGTTCAGTCTCCACATACTCCGCTTTAATTTTAGCCGAGACAAAGAAAATCTATTCTTGAAAGCAGAGATCCCGAACTATGGGCCCAAGTGAAACCTGGACATGCTGGGTGCAGCAATCGAAAGGTGTCAGTTAAATCAAAATCCTTAACTAAGGCACTGAGTTTCCGAGAAGAGGTGTCCATCTTCCAGCCCCCAGAAGTAGACAGCACATTTGACAGGCTGAGCAGGCAGTTGAAATCACCCCCAATACGACATGCCTCTGCATAACCAGCAGGGCAGCTATATTACCCCATAGTTCCACTCGCTCCGCATACCGCGTGGGGGCGTATACGTTAATTAGGCGTACTGGAGCACCGTCGTATGTGGAGTTGACATATTGCATACGGCCAGGGACCACTTCCTGGGCCTCCTGTACCTCAGCCCTTCTACGTCTTAGGAGGATGGCTACCCCAGTGCACTTAGCGTTGCTCCCGGACCAGAAACAGTGTCTGTCCCAGGACTTAAACAGCTTCGCCCGGCCGAGGGAGTACGGCAGGTGGCATTCCTGCAGGGAATGTCTTTTCTTAAAGTTTGCAGATAATGCACCGTTGCTCTACGCTTAGCCACACCCCAGATTCCCCTCACATTGACTGATGATATGGAGAGCTCCATGACCAGGGGTGTCTAGTCCGGCTCAGAGACATCCTCCAGCAATGAACAGTTCTTGTCGACCAAGTCCAGGAGACATTCAGCACTCATGGGTTTCGAGGAAAACCCCCACTCTCTTGGCTCGTCTTGGTTGTTATTTCTTATTCAGATGTAACCAAGTCTGTTGAAGAGTCTGACAGCTGAGGGCCTTCCCAGGGGGCAGATCAGGGTGAAGCACTCTGTGTCCTCCGCTTCCTCTTTGCTGTCCTCTCGAAAGACCCCTTGTCACCTTTCTTCTGTTGCACCCCTTCGCCCTCTGTCGCCTCCACCTCCTCCGCCCACCAGCCACAGTTGGTTCAGGGGCCCCCTCCTCCATCTCATTGGCTTCGGGCCCACCTTCCTGCCGGCTCGCGGATGCTTTCCCATCCTCAGACGACACCTCCCCCTCCTCCCTCTCGTCCAGCAGTGGCGTTCTCAGTCCAGCCATCTCTCCACTCACGCCATCAGTTGCCCGGTTGCTTGGTGTGTGCTCCAACCCAGCCTCAGTCGTCCCTCTGTCCTCTCTCTCAAATGTCTAGTTATGTGCCCGGACCATATTTGCGTATGATTCCGGGAAATTCCGGTACAGATGGTCCTTGCTCCCGCAAAGATTACATTTGTGCTGGGACTCTGCACTCTTCCACTACGTGGTACAGCGCTTTGCAGTGATAGCACATTCGCGCCTCACACGCCGCTGCCAGATGGCCTCTTCCCCCACACCTCCTGCAGAGTTTGGGTTGGCCCTTGTACACGATGTAGTCCTGACTACCGCCAATATTAAGGGCACTCGGGATATGCTGCAGGGCCCCATCCAACCTCACCCACCACTGTCTGGCACCTGTCCAGATGCCTAGCGAGTCTTGGACCCACTTGCAACCCGACAAATGGCAGTGCTGTTACAACCATACCTCCACATCGTGATCTGCTAGTGTCTTGTTATACAGGAATTCAGTCACCATTTTCGTATCCAGTTTTGACAATAATTGCAGTTTAAGCAGCGACAGATGCCTCTCGCCTGCCTTTTCCTTAAAGCGAGTCAGGAAACGCTGCAATATGTTGCTCGTCTTAAAGCTTCCGCCTGGCAAGGCTATTAAAACAGGTCCATAGGCTCGGCTTGTAGCATCCCCACCACCACTGTCCGTACAAAACTCGAGCGGTCCATGGTCACTTCATCTGGTACGTCTTCCTTGAAGGCCACCCGAACACAGTTGTGTCGTCTAGCGTGGACCGGTGTGAAGCTCACCCCCGGTCCACCTCGCCATTGGCCCGCTCGTTCCTGGTACCGTCCTGCCCCTATAGGCTCAGCATCTACCTTAATGGTCTCGCTCCGATCGCCTTGTGCCCACTGGCCAGCAGAGGCATCTGTTTCTGCAGCATTCTCGCTCAGCCTGGCAGAGACCACCTCCCTCTGCACCGGTACCTCTGTTCCCCTTGGCAGCTGCCTCCAGGCATCCCCCACAGCCTGCCGCGTTTCAGTCGAGGTTGCCGCCTGAGCTGCATCGCCCTCCTTCACTGACCTCTGTCCTCCAGGTAGTCGAGTCGCGGCCATTTCCACCTCAGCAGCTGTCGATGGGGCTTGGTCGTCCTTGCTCATCTCGGTAGCTCGGCTGGAAAAAAATGGCAAAGCAGCCACTGGCCTGACAGCCAGGGTGCCTGCTTGGGGCGAGGGAGAAAAGATGATCATGACGACGCCAGCTCTTTTAAAATGTATTAATTCCTCAGCAATGAACAGACCGTTGCCGGGTGGCAAAAATGCGAGAAACCCACACCACAGCCCGTGCAGGGGCTCTTAACGCGTCGCTGGAGGAAAGCGAGACAACTTTACTACAGACCCGTGTGTCCATTACACCGGTTAGAGAAATAAAAAACAGGAAAGGAGCGGCAACCTGGCACCACACCATTTTGGGTCAGCAACAAGATACGACCGTGGCCGCCGTAACAAACACTTGCACGTCCCTTCTCCGAGTCAGAGGGCATCCCCAGGCTCAGTCTCTCATTCGGTTCCACACACGGGGGGGGGGGGGGGGGGGGGGGGGGGTAAAGGCCACCGCCATTTCTCATTCGGTTCTCCATTCTTACCCATTCCACCTCCACTTTTTCAATTAGCCATCTGGCCAAGCAGCATACCTCTAGCGGTGACATATGCATGCCTTTCATCTCTCGCCTGCATGCTCTCTAGAGAGCCTCCTTAATGGCCCCAATAATGGCCCATGCCCAGGCCCAGTTCCCTCCCGCCTTCCGTCTAAAGAGCCCCCAAACCACATTCGGCACCGTTGCTTCAACTGAACAAAAGCAAGACAGCAGCGGCCCACACAACTCCCACACTTCCTGCGTGAAAGGGTACTGCACAAGGACGTGTACCGAGCTCTCATTCGCACCGCATCCCCTCGGGAATTTGTGGGTTCTGGCCATGTGACGGGAGAACATAAATCTTCTAAAGTCTAATCTGTCCCAGGTGGCCAGCCAGGAAAGATCACGTCGCCTCCTCGTCAGGGCTTCCGATAAAACATTTTCCCAGATCTGGCGGTGCATGTTCCCCCACACTCCTGGCACCGCCGTGCAGGTCTCCTTCTTGTCCATCTCTGACCGTATGTCTTTTGGGCACCATGTTTCCCATTTCGGGCCAGCCCGTATTCTGTAATATAGCTTTCAAGCACCGCATTCAACCACCCCTGCGGCCAGGCAAGCGGTATGCCTCACAGCAATGAGGCCAACCCCAGCCTCCGCAGGAGCCATGTCAGTCTATATTGCAAGAAATACGAGGCCTTCCCTTGGGGCCCTTTGAAAAAAAATAGGCGCAATGTGTTGCACACAAAAACCGTGTTGAGGGCGCGCTTGACATTTGGGGCACCTTTCCCACCGTTCGCAGTACTCTTGTACATTAGTCCTCCTCATGCGGTCCATTCCTCCCCCCCTCCCCCCCAGATGAACCTGAAGAATATCGTTTCCAAAGTTTTCGCTACCTGCTCGCCCGGCGGGAACACATGAGCTAAGTAGTTCAGTGCTGGGATGACTTCTACCTTTAACACTAAAATCCTCCCCTCTATCGTGAGGCACCTGTCTGCCCACTTGGCCAGCCTGCCCTCCACCACCCTTACCTTCTGACTAATTCCGCTCTGCCGAATTCTCTCGGTGAAAAGCAACCCCCAGGATCCGGATCCCATCTTCCAGCCATTTTATCCCTGGTGGGCGGCCCTCCAAAAGCCTGGGGTCTCTAAAGGTCATCAACTCGGTCTTCTTTACATTCACCCTGGAGCCCGAGGACCGGTGGCAGAGGTCCGCGAGCTCCATAACGCCCCAGACCGAGGACACGTCTCTACAGATCGTCACCACGTCGTCCATGTACATTAGAACCTTCCCTGGTTCCCCGCTTCCCAGTACATGCATTCCCCTAATCTTTGGGCTCTTTCTAAGGGCCTGGGCAAAAGGCTCCATGCACAACACGAACAAGACTGGGGACATAGGGCAACCTTGCATTACTCCCGACTCGATGGGCAACTCCTCTGAGAGTACTCCATTTACCAGCAGCCTAGCCGTGAGCTGATTGTACAGCTGCCTCACCCAACCTACCAACCACCTTCCCACCCCCATTCTCTCCAGCACAGCAAACAGGTAGTCATGAGAGGTGGTTGAATGCTTTCTCCTGATCGAGGCTCAGGAGCCCCAGGGGTCCGCCCTTTTCCATTGTATTTTCCAAAACCTCCCTTATCAAGACCAGGTTATCCGTAATCCGCCTGCCCGGGATTGCGCACGTTTGATCTGCCACAACTACCTCTCCTACTACCTTCCCTAGACGTGCCGCAATAGTTCGCCAAAATTGTATAATCCGAGTTCATTAAGGAGATGGGGCGCCAGCTCCCCAGGTCATTCCGTTCCCCCTTCCCCTTAAAGACGAGGGCAATTACCCCCCTCCTCATGGAATCCGGCACTGGGCCATCCTGCAGAATTTCCCTGTACAAACTCAGTGTTTAACCGTGTTCTAGAACGTAGTATAAAATTCAGCTGGAATCCCGTCTGGGCCCGGCATTTTATGCCTACGTTGTCCTATCACAGCCTCTTTCAGCTCCCCCAACTGAATTTGTCCCTCTATTCCCCCGGGATCTGTGATCCCCAGGTGAACCTCTCCCAGAAGGGATTCCCTTGCCCCGGCCTCCGACACCTTACTCCTGTATAGGTCCTCATAATAGTCCCGTGCCACCTCCACTATTGATGCTGTAGATGTACATTTTCCCCCGTCAGGGCTTACCACCTCCCTGATGAGGTTATGTTTTCCTACGTCTTTTGAAGAAAAATCTTGTGCACTTTTCTCCTTCCTCCACCGCCTTGACCCGAGCCCCAAAAACGAGTTGTGCTGCTCGCGTCTATACTGTCGGAGGTAATTTTCTCCTTTAGCTGCCCTATCTCCCTCATAACTGGAAAGCCCAGTTCCAGCAATTTATAGGCCCTTTTCGACCAGTCATTCTACCTTCAATTTATTCCTGACGCTCCTCCTCCTGCTCTGAGCCTGGAAAAACTCCCTAGTCCTGTCTTTTACCATTTCCCACCATTCCACCTGGGTGCCGAAACAACCCTGCAAGCTCTGCCATTCATCGTACCTCTTGACAAAATCCCCGATCACCATTTCATCCTTTAGAAGGCTTACTTTCATTTTCCAGACCCCCCTCCAACCTCAGGCTGCCCGGGATTCGAAGCTTTGCAGTCGTCATCTTGTGATCGGAAAAAGAAAAGGGTTCTATCCCTGCACCCTCCGTTTTGCCTTTGGCGGACACGAAAAGAAAATCTATCCTCGACTGCTATGCACCGGAGCTGCTAGACCATGTATACCCCGGCCGAATTGGGTGCATCAATCAAAAAGTATCCGCCAGTTTGAAGCCCGTTCAGTTTCCTGGTGGAGGGGTCTAGTTTCCTGCTTCCGGATGCCTGTATGACATCTGTCAGGCAGAGCGGGCAGTTAAAATCCCTGCCCAATATAACGTGCGTCAGCAACAGGGCCGCCACGTTATCCAACAATTCCTCCCGCACAGTGTACTGTGAAGGAGCATATATGTTAATCAAGCGGAGTTCCGTGCCATCGTAGCAAACGTCAATGTAGTGGAGCCGGCCGGGGACCACATCTTGGGTCTCCAGTATCTCCACCTTTCGGCTGCCCAAGAATATGACGACACCAGTGTTTTTATTAACGTTACTCCCTGACCAAAAGTAACGGCCGTCCCAGGGCTCTATCAATTCCGCCCGGCCGAAGGAATATGGCAGGGGGCATTCTTGCAGGAATATCATGTCTTTTTTCATTGCTTTAAAGTACTGTATAACTCCTTCTTTGGTTCTTTCGGTAAAGTCACGTATAACTGCCGTTTGTCTGGCCCTGCCCCAGATCCCTCGCACGTTTACCGAAGCCACCGTAAGTTCCATGCTCTGCGGCGTCTAATCTGACCCCGACACCTCTTCCAGTACTTGGTACACTCTCTAACACGTTGTGTTTGAACAGTCCTGTGTGTGTGGCGTTGCCTTCTCTGCGTGCGTGTTTGAGTGGTGGTATTTGCGCTTGTAGTTTTGTTGGCACACTTTTTGTGATATATGATTGTGGTCGATACTATCGACATGCCAGGGTTCTGGGCTGTTCTTTGTGCTTTAGGAGTCCTTGCCTTAATGATTGTGATGGGCAAGGCTGTGTTGGCTGGATCATGTAGCCCGCATGCCCAGACACCGCATGCCTAAGCAGCTTTTGTTTGGCCGGATAGAGGGGCCTAAACAGGTGCGACATGAGCTGGAAAAGAGATGGACTGACGCGGTATGGGAGGATGTGGAGCTGAGTGGACTTTTCGAAGACTGGTGCAAGCGGTGTCAAGATTGGCCTCCTGTGGAGGAGGCTCGTGAAGGACACTGTTAGGCAGTTGGAGGCAGTCGCCCTCCAACAACAACGGAGGGCAGAGGAGCGACGCTCACAACAACTTGCAGCTAATATGCAGCAAGTTGGCACAGTAGGTGGCTCAGCTGGTGCATCTGCCAGTCATCTCAGTCAGCCAACCCATGGCACCTGGGTTTGTCCCGTGACCTTCTGTCAGCGAGCCTTCGACACTACACGTGGCCTAAAAGTGCACTTGGCCTGGCACAAGTGCCTTGGTGACCATAATCGCCCCTTAGTGGCGAATGGCGGCTGTTTTTGCTGATATGATTTATAACAACATAATACACCGTTATAACATGAACAACTTTGCTGTACCCACCTCTACCATTGGATTGCTTTGGCTAATACCACTTACACTGCATGTGTTTTTAGCTATGGGGGAGGGGGGAGGATTGTAAAACTCCCGAGGAAACCCATGCAGATGAGCGGGAGAACATACAGTGAGGGAAAAAAGTATTTGATCCCCTGCTGATTTTGTACGTTTGTCCACTGACAAAGAAATAATCAGTCTATAATTTTAATGGTAGGTGTATTTGAACAGTGAGAGACAGAATAACAACAAAATCCAGAAAAACGCATGTAAAAATGTTATAAATTGATTTGCATTTTAATGAGGGAAAGAAGTATTTGACCCCCTCTCAATCAGAAAGATTTCTGGCTCCCAGGTGTCTTTTATACAGGTAACGAGCTGAGATTAGGAGCACACTCTTAAAGGGAGTGCTCCTAATCTCAGCTTGTTACCTATGTA